CCATAGTCACAGCATTTCACAATAATTCCAAACGCATTCTTAATTTGTCGAGGATGAAAGTATTCCTTGATTTTGTTTTTCAATAAACTCGAGTATATAACCTAAGATTAAGAACTTAACCTTCTATATTAGATGTTTAATGTTTAAATAATCTTGAAATGTGTGAAAAAAGAGGGTTGATTGTTATATTATATATATGTTGCAATAATATATATATAAGAGGCCTAACTTTGTTAAGGAAGAAAGAGTTTTCCTTTTGGTTTTTTGAGTTATGTTAAGTGTGACTGTGATATTTAATTTTTAGTCTTGATTTTTATAGATCTTGCAACTACATATTGAAAACCAAAATCAAAAATCAAAAGCTAAAATTTTGTTTAGAACAAATTTTAAAACTGATAACTAAAAATATAAATTTGTTTAATAGTATCAAAACTATTTTTGTTCTTATTTCTCTAATAATCATAAAAATTAAGACTCAAAGTGTGCTTTGTGCACTTCATCTATTGCGCATTTAGTTGGATGTTTATTAATATAAATTTTTATGTATTAATCTTAACTATGTATAAAATTACTGTATTAATAAAATTTCTCCTAAAATTCTCGAATAAATACCTAGTGCAGTTTTAAAAAGGCTTCAATAAATAATTAATATCTATGGACTTTTTAAGAAAATACTTATTAAAAAGTAATTTAAATTTAACAAAAGGGTTGTGGGATCTACATATTAGAAAATTAATGTAGAACATGAAGTTAATTCAATTTATAATTATAGAATAAAGGTGTGATTTATGTTAGATTTGAACTACTCTTTAATAAATATTTTTTAAGATACATATTATGTATGTATTGAAGATTTTTTAAAGTCATTGGTTATGTATTTAAGAATTTAAGGGCTAATTTTGTTGTTACAATAATTTTATATACAGTTAAGATTATTTTTTAGGTTTTATTTTTATACTAATGTTATATGTAGTTTAGATATGTTGCAAAAGTAAATAAGTTTTTCATCTAAAGTTTCAAAATTTATAAAATAAGAATCGTTAAACCTCCATTTTGGTCCCTCAACTATTATATGAATCCTTGATTGAGTCTCTCAACTCAAAAAATTCCTGATTTGGTCCATACTGTTTACCATTTTGGCCCAAACTTGGTCTTTTCGTTAAAAATCCAACTACATGTCCCATTAACTAATAGAAGCATGATGATATGTCAAAATGTTAAGTCCATGCGGGAAGACAACATGGCAAAAAATAATGACATGGCAATAAAAACTTAAAAAATTCTCTTTTTTCCTCTTCTTTCCCTTTCTCCTTCCTCTTCCTTGCCTTGCCTTATTTATCAATCAATTCTTCATCTTCATCAATCAACTCATCATCATCATCAAACAACAAAACCCCTAAAAAAAAAATCTTTTTTATTTTTTGCCCCTAGATTCAAAAGAACCCAACAAGAGAACCTAAGCGTGCTGGGTTCAAAGGAACCCACGTTGGGTTTAATCAAACCCAGCAACGCCTACCAGGTTCAATCAAACTTAGTGACTACTGGGTTCAATTAAACCCAATAGGCACTGTTGGAGATGAGACGAGGAAAGAGATGGTGAGGAGATGAGAAAAGGAGAAGATTAAACCCCAAGGCTGGCAAACAAAGATCTAGGGGGGAAAGATGAACAACGAAAAAGGTTGGAGATGAAAAGGAAAAGGTAACAAAAGGGAAAAGGAAGGGGTAGTGAACAGAGAAAGGAAAGAAATTGATGTGTGGTTGAAGGTGAGGGTAAAAACGTAATTTTAACTTCATAATTAGGTTGAGATATCATAATTTTTAATTGGAAATTACATGTCAAGTCTTATTTGTTATATTGTCAGTCCTATATGTCAAAATATTTTTACATGTCATCTTTTCCTCGTCAAGTAACAGGACACGTATGTGGATTTTTAATGGAAGGACCAAGTTGAGGTCAAAATGGTAAACAATAGGGACCAAATCAAGAATTTTTTGACTTGAGGGACTTAATCAGAGGTCTATACAATAGTTAAGGGACCAAAATGGAGGTTTAATCAATAAGAATCAAACCAAAAGTCACACTTATACTAAACAAAACTTTATTTAACTCAAATAAATTAAAATTAACAATTTAAAGTTTTATATTATGGGTCTAATGAAATCTTAAGATGGATAAAGAAGGATTAAGTGAAATCTAAGGATGGACAGAGAAAATATTTGAGAAGAGGACAAGGCGGTGTATATACGCAATCAGGAACTTTGCTGCTTTCTTTGGGCCGTAAATCAGCCAGGAGTACTTGTGTTTTTCGGATCTAAAATTAGCCTTGAACTATTGGGTTTCGGTCTTAGTTAGATTTGGGCCGAGTCATGACCGAACAAATTTGGGTTGAAAAAGTCCAGAATCTTTCAAAAAGGCTGCACTAACCTCACCCATATAAACACCTTCACTTAGCCTCACCCTATATTTTCATTGGAGGTTATAGTCAACCAGGTCAAAAACTCACGCGCTTGGGGGTGATTCTATCATTTCCCATCAACAGTAAAAGTAGTATTCATTCGTTTCTTAATGCTACGAATAATTGATCCTTTCTTCTTCTTCTTCTTCATCTTTTAGGTTTCTCCACCAGCAACTTCACCAGAAAAACCCACTTGATCTGCACCGGAAAACATGGCGGATAGCCAAGAAGGTTGCTGCCGGTGCTGCTGCAGCTTCGTCTTTACATTGGGCCTGACTGCGCTCTTCATGTGGCTGAGCCTCCGTGCCGACAAACCCAAATGCTCCATCACCAATTTCTACCTGCCGGCGCTCAACAGAACCCTGAACGAGTTCAAAAATAGCACCGATTCCTCCTTGAACTTCACCTTGAAGCTGAGTAATCCCAACAAGGACAAGGGGATTAACTACGACGACGTGGAGGTGAACATCACCGTTTTCGACAGCGGACCCGGAAACGCACCCTTCTCTTTGGGGAACTATACGGTTCCCCGCTTTTACCAGGGGCATAAGAAGAAGGCTCAGAAACAGGGTCACTTGGAATATAACAAGACGATGGTTTCCAAGGCGATTTATTCTAACGGGACGGCAGAATTCCAGCTGGAGATGGTGACGCAAGTGAGGTTCAAGATCTTGTTTTGGAGGACTAAGCGGCATAAGATCAACGTGAAGGCAAAATTTGCAGTCGACGACAAGGGTAATAAAGTGAATCCGAGGAAGAAGAAGGATGTCCCGCTCACTTCTACTGCGCCAAAACGGGGTTACTGCAATCTGGTTATGGGGATTTTGGTGAATTTTGTGGTCTTGAAATTTCCTAGTTTTTTATGAGTTTTGTTGCTAATAATGTTATTTCATTGGGATTTTAATTTTTTATCTTCTTTTTTCCTGGAGAAGGAAAATGTTGTTAAAATTGTTGGTATAAACCTGATTCTTTCTTTCTAAATGAGGAAATTTTGCATCTTATGATTTCATTGTATGATTGATTTGATCTAGTTTAGTAAAATTCATTCTCTAATTACTAATTTTAGTAAAATTAATTCATTAATCAGAAAGTGAATGCTTAATTTATTAATGAAAGTATTTAAATTACTAATTATTAATAATAATAATTTTGAATCGTGAGATTAAACAAGGTAATTTTAAATCTGCTATACGAAAGCAGGTGTGTTTAGGAAGAATTTTGCTTGTAATTTCTTGGTTCCCGGAAGAGAGATGGAAATTGCAGAGTAAAATCTGGGAAATTTCCCAAGCATGTCCTATTTCCATTTCCCTATTGGCGTTTGAAATGAATGTTAAAAAATAAAAAAATGCCAATACACGGAGTGGAGATTCCCCAAGTACGTCAATTTCTTGATGACTTTTTCCGGTGTTCCTTTCAGGCAGGTTGAGTTGTGAAAAGGTCCAAGAAAATGTTAGAAAACTTTAATGTCTTAAAATTAATCTTTATATAACAACTACTCTAGAAATTTAATAATAATTTTTTTAATAAAAAATAATTGTTTTCGTTATATGGCTCAACACATAGAAACTTTATTTTAATGTAAACTTATGTTCATGTGTTGCAGTGGTAGACCTTTTGTCATTTTTTAGGTTAAATATATTTTGAAAAGCCATGTTCAATGGAGACTAAAAAATGAATAGTTTGCAAAGTCATGCCTTTTTT